GATTAAGAAGCCTTTTGGGGCCGGGCTTGGTGGCTCAGCCTGTAATCCCAGCACTTTGGGAGGCCCAGGTGAGTGGATTGCCTGAGCTCACGGGTTTGAGACCAGCCCGGGCAACTTGGCAAGACCTTGTCTCTACAATAAATCAAAACTTAGCTGGGTGTGGTAGTGCCGGCTACTTGGAAGGCTGAGGCGGGAGGATCGCCAGAGCCCAGTGGGTCGACGTTAGGGTGGCTGTGAGTATGCCACTGCACTCCAGCCTGGGCGACAAAGTGAGACTCCAACTCAAAAAAAAAAAGGTCTTTTGGAACCCCTAATGGCTCTTCTAAAATTTGTAAGAATGTCTGCAGGCAGTAGAAACCAGTGCTTTTAATTAGTACAGAAAGAGACATACAACTTAAAATAGATTTTCATGATAGTTTTTTACTGTGACTTTGGTTTGTAGAGGAGGAAAAATATCTTTTTCCATCTACTCTTTTTGGTTCTTGATTGGGTCTCTGTAACAAAAGACAGATTCACAAGAGAAAAGCATACAAATGTATTTAATGCAAGTTTTATGTGACACAGGAGCCTTCATAAGGAAATGAAGACCCAAAAAACCATTAAACCTGAGTGTTTTTATATGATGTTTGATGAGGAATGCAAAGTTGTGGAAGAATGTGATAGGACAAAGGGTATGAGCTAAGAGCAGTAAACTGGGAAACAGCAAGACCTGTTCATTCAGATTCCTATTGTTCCTCTGTCTTCTGAGATAAGAATGTTCCTTTCCTCTGGGTATAGGGAGGCCCTCTCACCTCTCACAGCTTATGAGCTGTGCAGGGATGGTCAGAGAGCCCTTTCTACAGAGAACCCTTTCTGCACCTGCTGTTTCTCAAATTCCTTCATCTTAGAATACTCAGTGTTAGATACCAGGATCCCAGCAGGGCCTCCAAAATGTTAGGTTAGATGGGGGAGGGGGGTGTGGGAGGGGTTATATACAATCTGGTGCTGCGAAAGATGTAAAGAATCGCACAGAGGTTCGACTGGAAAATATAGTTCATTTAGAAGTTCAATTAGAGATCGAGAGGGTGGGAGAGAGTAGATTCACCTCCCCAAGGTAGGGGAGGGGGCCAAAGCTAAGAAAACATGGCGGCCATAGCTTAGAGAGCCACATGGACACACCAGAGTTTAAGAAAGCAATGGCAAATGGCTGCTTGAAGTTGAATGCTTTTAAGCCTTCCCTTTGGTGTGGGGCATGTCCTAAAGGTAATTGGGTGATGGTCTTTTCCACATCATCAGAGACGGGACAGGTAAGCACAGGTACTGACATCAGTTTTTGGACAGCAGGTAGAAGGATGGCTTAGTCACGTGATTGTTGCCATGTTGATAGGATCTGTGTCAGGAAGGTCAGGAAGAGCTGTTTAGGTTAACTTGTTTACAAAACAAGCTGGTGAGGGAGTTATAAAACAATTATCAATAGCTACTTCTGAGAAACTAGTTCTGTCCTTGGCTAGTGATTAGAGGGTAAATTAGTGAACTGCTAGAAAAATATGCCAACGCTGAGCTATATTAAAATGGCTGCTCGTTGGGTATACTGACTCCATCTTATGTCTTTTCATTCAGTATGCCAATGCGTATGATGTTTTGGGGTAGCATGTCCTGAACACCATCACTGGCTATCTCTTAGACGTGGTTCATCTCTGCCCCATGGGAAATTCATGTGCATTCTTTGCCTTGCCATTGGGGAAAGCACAGTTCCTTCCCAGATGCCATCTCTTCTTTTTGTCTGTTGGTTGTGATTTTTCACTCTCACTCCCAGCCACTTGCATCTTTCTCAGACATGAGTTAAGGCACCATTGGTCCAGAGTGTCCCCCAGTTACTGGGAACATAATAAGTTCCTTTACTGGTCTTGCTTAAGTCCACACTTCTAGGCTTCTAGGTCTGAGGTGAAGGAGGTTGTGATGATTCCTTTGTCCATCCCAACTCACCTTTTTGGAAGAGAGAGAGATTTTGGAGTACAGTACTTTCTCTAAAGAATTTTTTTTACAGATCTTCCTCCTTTTCAACCCACTTCTCATATTTAAAAAAGAAATTATTGAAGAGCTTGAGGGAGTTCCAAAGTTGTGTAACAGGTTTATAGTCATTTCCTTTATAAATTCTTCAAAGAATGATCTATCTCCCTTTCAAATCTGGCACTGTTATCTGTTTTATTGGTACCTTAATCAATTCTGTAGAACAAAGTGGGGGATGGGAAGTCATCTTTTAACATTTTTTTAGTAAATATTAGAAAGGACTTTTTGATCATTAGGGTTTTTCTAAACATAAAACAACCATGGTGGATCACATTTTAACAGAGTATTTTATATGGATGGATGGATGATAATATTCAGTTGGGGAAAATTGAAAAAGAAGTTGTCTAACAGTTGTCATAACTATTATAACCATAAAGGTAATTCAGGCCATCTGCTGATTTTTTTTTTTATTTTAATTTTTAATTTTAGTAATATGTCTAGGTTAAATCAGACAAGGTGGTGTAGCTTGGTATCAGGTGAACCATTTGCTTTGGAGATGTGTGTACCATTCTTTCTGGAAATTATGTCTCTTCCTAAGACTAATTTTTGCCATCTTATTTCTTATTTTCTATTTGCTGCAGTTCGTTTTTGTTGTTATTTTGCTCTCTCCATTCCTCCTTCACACTGCACAAATCCAGTTTTCTCTTGTGATTTAATAGTCACACTTTCTTTTATTCTTATGGTGATTGCCTTTGACTTAAGACTCTTACCGTCTTGGTTTGAGGCTTTTTGCCTGCCCACTACCCCAGCTGGGTGGGGGTGGTTAATCTGTGATGTGATCCCAAGAAGTAGAAGTGAAGGACTAGGGAGAGTGAGGCAAGGAAGGGAGAAAAACCAGTGAAGGTTCTAAGGATCACTGTAGGCCACAGGTGTCGGTACTCCTGAGGTACCACAGGGAGGCTCAGGTGTATATCCCACTCCTCAGGGTTCCCCCAGAGGCATCAGTTTCCCTTTGGAAATGCATTAGAAAAGCCCCAGGCAGAAAAGCAGAGACTCACCTGCAGCTTGGGCCTGAGGCACAGGAACTGCCCTCTACAGCTGCTCAGGCCACAGGTATCTGCCATACTCTTTATCTACCCCCCTTTGATTACATAAGCTAATAGGGTGTCCATATTCCATTCTCCTTGCCTTCAGAGAAGCACTTTGGCACATTCCCGCATTTCTTTGGTCCCTTCCCATTCTGTCTCCTGCTAAATAATTTTGGGATTGCTATGGACATACTTTTTCTTTTATATTTTAGTCTTTGATTTTTTTTTTACATAACATTGAGCTTTTCTTAATCATTCTTACTGCTCATATCTGCTTAGTTTTTCATTATGTATTTCATTAAATGGCAGCTAGCTAGACATAAAGTTCTAGTCCTAAAGCTAACAAATTGAGTTTTGTGTTAAAGAACAGTTTCTTAGTTAAAGTATGATTGTTTTGTTATTAGTAGTTTAGGTAAACTTTAGAGTTCACGTAAATACAAGTGTATTTAACAGTATACTAATGTGATCTCTTCGGTTTTATTTCCCCTTAAATTCTGAGAAGGTCTTAAGGTGCATATTTCTCTCTGAAGTTTGTATAATTATTATTTGGTTTAAAACCTGTTTTTAGGATAGGAACAGTTTTGCCTGATGAACCTTCTGCTCCTACAAAACTCCTGTTTGCTTTCCTTCTGTGATCTTTTGCCTTCTACAGTATTCCCTCTAGTGACATATAGACTGTTTTTGGCTCTAGAGTATCTCAGCTAGCCCAAGCATGTCCTCAGTCTTAGTAGAAAATTCTCCCACCTGAGGGTATATTTGTAAGAAAGGAAGTATGGTAAGAAAACATGCCTTGATTTAAGGAAATTCTCTTGACCCCTGGGATGATTTTCTCTTGTTACCTACACACTTGCTTTTATCACCATGCTACCTGAACCAACAGTTAATAATTTGTAAAACTGCTTTTTCTAAGAAGTTGCTGCTTATTTTTAGTCTTCCATATTATCAACCTAAAGTGACAGTTAATGATTAAAATATTGTCAGTGGGTATAATATGGGAATTATGCAGTTAAATGGGGCAAAAACTAAGCTTTCCCCCCACTCCATATATAAATATGTCTCTACATCTATATATATACACTCTATATCTATATGTCTATATATCTATATCTATCTATCTGTCTGTCTGTCTGTCTGTCTGTCTATCTATCTATCTATCTATCTATCTATAATTCCTGGACTCAAGTAACCACCTGTCTCAGCTTCTTGAGTAGCTGGGACTACAGGCACACACCACCATGCCTGGCTAATTTTATAAAAATTTTTGTAGAGATGGGAGTCTTGCTATGTTGCCCAGGCTGGTCTTGAACTCCTGGCCTCAAGAGATCCTCCTGCCCTTGGCCTTCCAAAGTGCTGAGATTACAGGTGTACACCTGTAATCATGCCCAGCCAAAATTTTTTAAAAAGTGAATAGAATGAACAAATTATTATTTTTTCTCATAAATTATTCTTAAATCTATGCTGAAAGAAATTAAGAAATTGGCTGCAAAGGTTCATGCCTGTAATCCCAGTACTTTGGGAAGCCGAGATGGGAGGACTGCTTGAGACTAGGAGAAATTAAGAAGTAAATGACAAATATTAATAAGAAGACTGTGACAACAGCCCATCATTCATTCTTAGTTTACTGTTCTCTCTAGCTCTTATAACGGAATTAAATAAATCACTATTTTGTGGTGTTCCAAAAGGAATGGATGTGGTTTGAGGCTCCTTTGACTCTTGAACACATATGGGAATCGTTGTTCTTGATAATAATTGGTTGAGTTAGAAAATAGAGTTTAAATGTTAAAAAAGTAATGAGAGTGTTACAAAGATAAATTCAACATTCAAGATACAAGTTATCTTGAATGGATAAAAGTTGCTCCCATCCTGCATGGGATTGTTTACTAATAGTAACTACTAATAACATTTTTATTTTGTGACTTACAGGGGCCCAGGCTTGTGTGCTTGTATTTTCTACGACAGATAGGGAATCTTTTGAAGCAATTTCCAGTTGGAGAGAGAAGGTTGTAGCTGAAGTTGGAGACATACCAACCGTGCTTGTGCAAAACAAGATTGACCTCTTGGATGATTCTTGTATAAAGAAGTAAGATGTCTACTTTTTGGAGAAGAGGGACAACAATTCTGTAAAGTTAAAACATATTTTAATTTTTGGACAGATTTATAAAGGTTAAGGAAGATAATAAATTTCCTTAAATTTTGAAGGTTTTAATTATGTAAAGGTTTAATCATAGTTTCTGTGAGCTATTCTGTGTTTGCTTTGAGTTTTTAAAAATTCACTCTGATTCAAATAGAGAAAATGAAAGGAATACATTTTGAAGGTTCTTTTAGAATTCTAATCTCAGGTCCCTGTACCACAAATCCAATTCTCCATGTTAAGTTAAACCTAGATATAGTAAGAATGTTAAAAACAGCATCCCATAATTATTTAATATCTAGAATAAGTAGCTATCCTATGGTGATGAATTTAAATAAAGGGATAAGAGTCATATTGTTTTGTATATTCAGAACTATTATGCTTAAATTTGTGGACAGAGTTTAGCATCTAGGTAATCTGTCTATAAATATTCACTCGTTGCATAATTAATATTTTTGCTAGCTTTGAAAATCTTTGCTTGATATTTACCTCATTTTTAAATGTGTTCTTATATTGTTATCTGTTGTAACAAATTAGGCCAAAATTTAGGGGCTTAAAACAGCGAACATGTAGTATATCACAGTTCTATGGGTCAGGAATCTGGGGGGATTGGCTGGGTGGTTTTTCATGAGGGTGCAGTCAAGATGCTGGCTAGGCCTGTTGTCATACAAAGGCTTGACTGAGGTGGGATCATCCAACTTCAAGATGGCTGACTCACTTGACAGTAGGCCTTCATTCCTTGCCATGTGGGCCTCTCCTCAGTGCTGCTTGAGTGTCATCACAACATGGCAGCTGCTTCCCCCAAATAAGATAATTTAAGAGGGAGCAAGGCAGAAGCCACAGTGTCTCTTATGACCCAGTCTTAGAAGTCACATATTATCACTTGTGTTGTATATTATTGGACACCCAGAGCTACCTTGAATACAATGTGAGAGGAGACTGCACATGGGTATGAAGATGAGGACGGGATCGCTGGGAGCCATTGAAGCATGTTTAGTACAGTCCTAATAAAACTATCAGGAGTTCACAATCAGGAGTCCTAAACAAATTAAAATTAGAAGTCCATGCTTGTAGACATGGTCATTAATATGCTGACTGGCTTTTGGCAGCAAAGTTGTTTCATGGCCAATAAGAATAAAATAAGTAATGTACTATAAAATTTTCAGAGTGTGATTAAATCCAAATGTTCATTAAAAAGATGAGAGAAAGTTAAAATATTATATTAAAAAAGTGGTATTTAGTCATTTTAGGATTAGAGATTAGTGACTTTATAGAAAAGTCTTCTTATACTCCTTACACTGTACAGATACAGTGTAATGGTTGGTGTTTATCTCCCAAGAGTAGTGAAGACTAAAAATCTGTTCAGGCACTAAGTGAAAACCTACCTTTCAACTGGTTTTATTTAATGAGTATCAAGCTTCTTTAAAAAAGAGAAGTGAAAATTTTCTGAAAGATCTGATCTGCCTTCCCACCTTGCCCTGCCAAACTGTATTCAGTAAATGTAATTGAGTGACTTAAAAACAATCTATCAGAAGGTACTTATATAAGCATTTGTTTTCACTGATGTGCAGTGAGGAAGCTGAGGTGCTGGCCAAAAGGTTAAAGTTAAGATTCTACAGAACATCAGTGAAAGAAGATCTAAATGTGAATGAAGGTAAATTGCCTTAAAAAAATAAAAGTATTGCAATAAGACTTTTTTTTTTCCTGTTGTGTTGTTTGGAATTATAATGAGAACAAATTTTTTTTTTTTTTTTTTTGAGTTGGAGTCTCACTCTGTCATCCAGACTGGAGTGCAGTGGCCGCTCCTGGCCACCGCAGCCTCTACCTGCTGGGCTCCGGTGATCCTTCTGCCTCAGCTTTCCAAGTAGCCGGAATTACAGGCATGTGCTACCACGCCCGGCTGATTTTTTGATTTATTGTAGAGATGAGGTCTCGCTGCCCCAGTGGGTCTTGAACCCTTGGGCTCAGGCAATCCACTCACCTCAGTCTCCCAAAGGCACGGGATTACAGGCTAAGCCACTGAGTCTGGCTGAGAACAAAATTTTTTTTTAATCACCTAACATTAAGTAAAATTTGAAGGCATTTTGTTTATTTGAATTGAAGTCCTTAATTATATACTAATGTCCTTGAATACTTGTTACCCTGGTAGGGCTTTGGGTTTTTATTATTGTTACTTTTAAAAAGCTAAGCTGTATATGCATGAGTTTTTTATGCATACCTTTTTAAAATTACTGAACTGTTTTAGAACACCACAGTAGTAGATATTCCATTAAGTAGTTACAGTGACCTTAATTTGTGTAAGGGCATTTCCCAGGTGAAAAAAGTAAGATTAGAGAAAGATGACCATATTCTTCTCATTCCAGAATTGCCACTTACTAGATTGCAACTAGATTGCTGCTCCAGTGCCTCTTCTGGATACTTTTCTTCACCTTTTCTAAAAAAGTAGACATCTTTTTCAAGATGTCATCTTAGTGTTGCTGAATATTAATCACTATTCAAATAATTAAATAGAAGAGTCAATGACTACAAGTTTTATTCCATTTCTTTACTAGTAAAATAATACCTTTAATAGTATCATCATTGTAGTTAAGATATTACGCAAATAATTTTTAAAAGTTGAATTTATAAATATATTGTATGCTTCTAATTCGAATTTAAAATTTATTTAGTAACTAAATATTATAATAAGTGATTATTATATCTGAAATAACAGATTTATACACATAAATTATATTGACCTGGTTGGGGGTATTTTTTTATTCTAGTTTTTAAGTATTTGGCTGAAAAATATCTTCAAAAACTCAAACAACAAATAGCTGAGGATCCAGAACTAAAGCATTCAAGTAGTAACAAAATTGGTAAGTACTCAGGAAATTTTAGCCTGTGTTTACGTGGTAAGTTCATTTTCCATTTATTATTATTATAGTTATTTAAAAATACCTATATAATATGCTCATTTAAAAAATGTGATTAAAACGTGTTAGATCAGTGATATTAAATTTGTGAGTATTAGGTCTCTTGTTGAAAGTTACACTGACTTAAAGTTATTTTTTTAACCATTGAATTTTCTAAATCCATTTAATAGATTAAAGACAGTGGAGATATAGACTTTTATAAGAGTCTGTCATTTACATAAAGGAGCTATATAACACTTGTTCTTCTGAACTATGTTAAGTGCTAACAAAACTTTAGCTTTCCCTGAAGAACAAGTACATTGTATTCTCTTTCACAGTAACTGACTGACCATGCTGCAATTTCTGCTTTGACTTCCAGGAAACTTAGAGCCAAGTTTGTTGGTTTGAAACCTTTTGTGTAGACCTCCTTAACGTCTTCACGTCTGTATTCCATCCCTAAATTTCCATCATTACATATACAGAAACATGTCATTTTCTGGACTGGTTTTAACTTAGATTTTTCCTGGGTCCTGGCTTCTTTTTCTTACTTCTCCATTTTTATTGCCAAGTTTCTGCCATCAGACACTGTACATGCTTTGTGAAACAACGTAGGATGCTTATTCCTGTTCTTCCTGTTCTTACTCTTGTCCTTTTCCAATCTGCTGATTGAAGCTCTTTAATAAATTTTCATTGTGGAGCAAAGTAAATGCAGTTCTCTTCATTCCAACATTTAAGGACAGTTTTGTCCATCCTTCCTTTTGTGTAGCCTCCTGCATATTATATCTAAATGTGCCACATTCACTGGTTCCCTCAGAAGTCTTGATCTTTCCTGACCATGCCCTGTGCCTTCTTACTTCTTCACTTTTGGTCATTTTGTTTCTTCTACTGAGAATGACCTCTTTCCCATCTTCTGTCAGAGACCTTCCAGAAAGCTCTCTCAATTGTATATGTGGCTGAAGCCATAGTCACTGTGTTCTAGAGCAGTGGTCCCCAACCTTTTTGGCATCAGGGACCAGTTTCATGGAAGACAATTTTTTCACAGACAGAGGTGGGGGATTGCAGTCAAACTTCACTGCTAATGTTAAGTTGGATTTGCAGCCACTACCCAGTGCTAGCTAGTATCACCACCTCAGCTCATCAGGCATTAGATTCTCGTAAGAGGTGTGTGCAACCTGGATCCCTCGCATACACGGTTCCTATTTGTGCTCCTATTAGAATCTAGTGCTGCCACTGATCCAACAGAAGACAGAGCTCAGGCAGTAATGTGAGCTATGGGGAGTGGCCATAAATACAGATGAAGCTTTGCTTGCTTACCTGCTGCTCGCCTCTTGCTCTGTAGCCCAGTTCCTAACAGGCCACGGGCCGGTACTGGTCTGTGGTCCAGAGTTTCCAACCTGTGCTCTAGAAGACCAGAGATCTAAATCCAGGGCATCCCGAGGTATGCACTTATATCTTCTTTGTGTCTTTTTTCCTTTCTTATGAATCAAATGCAGTCCTTCCTTTGAACCATTTATAGGATCTTGTGCCTCTTTTAAGACACTTTACGGTGTTTTGTAGCATTACTTGTTTCCTGTCTTGTCTTGCTTATTAGATTGCAAGCTCTTTGTGGGCAAGAGTTTGTATGCAGTTGCCTTTGTATCCCTGAGAGTATCTTTGGAAATTGATCCCTGATACAAAATCATCATAAGTCTGAGATTATATTTAGTCAACAGCACAGTTCAAAATGGAAACTATAATAGTTAAAAGTTTAAATAGTTCACCGCTTTTAGCTACTCATCACTTTATCTGTAAACCACTTTTTTGTTATTTTAGCCTGAGTCGGATGAACCTATATATTACTTCTAGCTTTTTACGTATGCAATGTTTTTATTAACATAAAATCTCACAAATAGCTGGGCACAGTGGCTGTAATCCCAGCTATTTGGAAGACTGAGGATCACTTGAGGCTAGGAGTTCAAGACCAACCTGGGCAATATAGCAAGAACTAACTTTAAAAAAAAATAAGAATTAGCCAGGTGGGGTGGTGTACACCTATAGTCCTGGTTACTTGGGAGGCTGAGGCAAGAGGATTGCTTGACCCTACGAGTTCAAGACTATGATTGTGCTACTGTACTTCAGCCTAGGCAACAGAGTAAGACCCCATCTTAAAAAAAAACTCACAAATACTGTTGTTAATTAAAAGTTAGGTATTCTTGAGGAAGTTACATGATCTGAAGTTAGTAAGTGAAGTTATTAAAATTATCATATTTACTGATTGCAAATATCAAAGCAGATTGGGAAAAGGTGCAGAACAGTGTATAGAGTATGCTACAATTTGGGTAGAACAAGGAGGAAAAAAGAATATACATGCATTTTTGCCTATTTATGCATAAAATATTTTTGGAAGGATACATAGGAAGACTGATTAACATGCCTACACCTTAGGGAAGGAAAACTGGCATGGGAGGGATTGAGATGAAAAGGAGACTACTGTGGCCTCTTTTGTAGCTTTTGAACTCTGTATGACATGGATTAGCTATTAAAAATAAATGAAATGAAACGACATATCTATTGATATATGAATGAATAAGCAACACATGCTTTATACATACAATGGAATTTTATTCATCCTTAAAAAGGAAGTTAGTTCTGCAATATGTTACAACATGGATGAACCTTGCAGACATTATAGTAAGTGAGATAAGCCAGTTGCAAAAAGATACCATAGGATTCCATTTATTTGAGGTAGAGTAGTGAAAATCATAGAGACAGAAAGTAGAATGGTAGTTGTTAAGGCCTGAGGGAAGGGGGAATGGAGAGTTATTGTTTTTGTTTTTTGAGTTGGAGGCTCACTGTGTCACCCAGACTGGAGTGCAGTGGCACAATCCCGGCCACCGCAGCCTCAACCTGCTGGGCTCTGGTGATCCTTCTGCCTTAGCCTTCCAAGTAGCCGGAACTACAGGCGTGCGCTACCACATCCGGCTGATTTTTTTATTTATTGTACAGACGGGGGTCTTGCCAAGTTGCCCGGGTGGGTCTCGAACTCGCAGGCTCAGGCAATCCACTCGCCTCAGCCTCCCAAAGTACTGGGATTACAGGCTGAGCCACTGAGCCCGGCCGAGAGTTATTGTTTAATGAATATAGAGTTCCGGTTTAATAGACGAAAAGAATTATGGAGATGAATGGTGGTGACTGTTGCACAATATTGCAAATGTATTTGATACTACTGAACTGTACACTTAAAAATGGCTAAGATGGTAAATTTTGTTGTATTTTACTACAATACAAAAATTGTCAATACTTGAAAGTATTACTGATTTTACTGACAAGCTGGATGCAGTAGATAACTCTGAGGTGTATCAGTGCCATTCTCTGTCTTCCCTCCATTTGTACAGGTGTCTTTAATACATCTGGTGGAAGTCACTCTGGTCAGAATTCGAATACTCTTAATGGTGGAGATGTCATCAATCTTAGACCCAACAAACAAAGGACCAAGAAAAACAGAAATCCTTTTAGCAGCTGTAGCATACTCTAAAGTGTTTTAGGCAGGAAAAAAACCTGAATTATATTGTGCAATTCAGAAAGAAACCCATCCAGCTATCATGGTATGTTACAAGTTTTTTAGCAGACTTTGAACCTAATGACTCTCTGAACGTTGACAGACTTAAAATATTGCTCTGCAGTGCTTTTCAGAATGTAGACTGAGACCTCTGGTGGAAAAATTACTGCCCTGTGGACTCATTTTATTTTATTTTTTTACATTAGACAAAGCTTCTATTTTTGAAAGGAATGCTGTAAGTAATGTCAAAAACAGGTTTTGCTGAATTTTAAATGCTGGAAAACAATTGAAATGCCTAAATATATTGTACAGATTTTAATACTACGAATTAAGGGGAAATAGCAAGCATTCTTTTTTTTTTGAAAATGGTCATCTAGGTTTCTGGAAAATGGTATCGAATCTAAATGCTTACAAAAAATAATACTGAAAGGTAAACTCTAAATCTTGCCAGACTGCATTAGTGTGTATTTTGGCAATGGTACTTGTGCAATATCTGTATAATGTAGAATGTTGAGGTGCACATGCAGATATCTGGTACTGGAGTAAACTGAAGATATGTGTAGTGTTTAAGAAAATGTAGATTCTAATTAACTCATTTGTAAACCATTTACACATTGTGTATATGCTTTTATTTTCAATTGAGAAATTCCAGACATATATTTTGCAAAACAAGCTTGGATTTAAAAGTGCTTTGTGCCAAAAATATCAACCTAATTTTTATAGTGCTTTACTATCTGAATTTATATTGTTTATAATATCTTTTAAAAGCAGTAAGCAGTTTTCCTCTCTGACAGGGTAGATAAAACAGGAGTATAAACATTTTAATTCTAGAACAATTCCCAGGTGAGACTTGTGACAGGGTCTCTTAGGCACAGCTACCCGTGGACATGGCGAGCTCCTGCTGTCATAGGTCAGCCTACCCCTCAAAGACCCACAGCCCATCTGCAGTCACTCAGGAGGTCCTGTGGAGGGTGGTGCATCTAGCACCTTTGCTGCTGAGGACCCAACTTTGAACTGATATTGCTAGTCATTTTTTAAAATGCACAAATGATTATTAGTCTTAATCCAAATTACAGATTTTATAATGCCCTGCAGCTCTAAAGCATCCCTTTGTTACACATTTTTGTATGGTATTTTAAGATTATTGCTTACAAATTTCTATAACCTTCCGTTTATATAGCACTTTCTCAAGAACTCTGTCAGCACCACATACAAAATAATTCCTTTTAAGAAATGATTTCATGTATCAGAGCATAGATGTTGTGACCTGGGACAGCAGCTTTTCCACTAAGATAACTGCATGAACTCTGTTGAAATTGGTTATCATTCGTCAGTGGATTTGTTTTTAACCTGCAAGTACCCCTTTCAATATAACCCGTTTTCAGGATTTCAGAATACGTAAAAATAGCTTTTTTTGTGGGAAATGTGTCATGAAGTTATTTTTTGATCACTTGTACTAGATAATGTTTTATGTATTCCTCTTCCATGTTTTATTTTATGTTTTTCAAGTCTTCCATCTGTACCACCCTCACCCTCCTGCCCAAGTTAATGCTGAGACCATAATAGAATTTCCTGAGATGTGCCCTTGTTAAGTGGTCAAGAGTAAATATTTACTTTTCATAATCTTGAAATGATTTGGCATTATTTGTTTCAAAGTAATGTAAAACATTTATTTTCATGTCACCAGTGGTCACCAGTCCCATTGCTGGCAGTGGGATAGGTATTGGGGGCACAACTCAGGTCCTGAAAGTGGATACATGCTAGTGATTCATTTTTCTACTCTCTTTAAATACAGTCTCTTTAATTTTTGCACAAAACATCTTTTGCAGTGAATAGTCTTAAGGTCCTCATTTGTTAGATGTGTTGTAGTTCTATTTCATGTTAATTAAATGTGTGTTGGTAAAAGCATGTTATTTTCTATTAAAAAATGTAATCTCTGATGATGGCTGAAGTTCTCCTAATATTTGTAATAGAATTTTTTGTCCTTTTTAAAAATAAGAACTGAAGAGAGAACTGTTACACATCTGAATTTTTTATTTGCACTGCTGTATTTAAACCTAACCATATTAGTCATTTTAAACTTAACCATATTAATTAATTTAAAATAATTATGCAGGCCTGAAAGTCAATAACAAATGATAATTTCTGCATTTCTAAAGCTTCAAAATTGACATTTTTTTTTCCTTTGAGACCCTTCTTTTAAATAAATTTGTTATTAATATCTCATGAAACCATGTATACGAAAGAAGTCGTTCAAGATCCCAGGTTATGGTACATTTGTGCTCTAATCTGCTTTTTTACATTATGGTTAATTTTTGCATATAGATATACAGCTGTGGAATAATTGCCATATTTCCAGATTTCTCAGGTTCCTCTTTCCTTTTCAGTCTCTGCCTATGAATTAAACAGTATACAGAATAGCCCATAGAAGGCAATATAGTTAAATAAAACCAGTTAAACGGTTTCCTTTTTATCTGCCCAAAGTTGATAGCACACATGTACTTTTTCAAAATAAAGCCAAGCTAACACTACCAAAAAAATGAACGACTTTCTTCATTGTGAAGTTTTAGATGGTTGTTTGAGAAACAGCAGTGCAGTACTTAGAAAGAATTCTAAGTGACATGCTCCATTGTACCTGTGACTTCAGGGACGGGACACTTTCTTAAGATCTTAGAATAAGGAGTGGCCTTAGGACCTAATGTCCCAACTTAAAGTGTTGTACTCTTTTAATGTAAGATATTGTTAATTGTTAGCATCTTTTTCAAAACTCTTGAAATAGTTACTGGTAGCCGGCTGACATGTCCCCATTAATGTATCATCAGTGTCTGTTTTTCTGAAAAACAAAATGAACTGATGAGGTGAACCACATGACACCTACCTAATGACCAGGTAGATTTATTCACTTTTAACTATGTCATGCTTTAGGTTTTCATCTTTAACATGGAAATCTATCATACAAATAAATTTAATTGCTAATAGACTCGGAAATATCCAATCGCCAAACTCCTGGGTAACTGGATGATTAGGCTCTCACTCTTTAGTAGGTAGTGCTCCTTCTCTTCTCTCTTGAAATATCTACAGTAGGATGTTGGTAAATGGCCTTTTAAGCATAAAAACTTTGGATTAAAAGGAAAACTGAACCCCTTCTATATTTTTGTTACTAATAATGTTTTTGTAAGTCTGAATGGAAAACCACTTGTATGTATTGCTGTTGGGTTGCAGTTATGCTCTCGAGTTTAATTAAAAATACACTACTTGATGACAATTTCATGAAAGATGAATTCCAATAATCACAAATAAATGTATTTCAAAGCTAGAATGATGTGTGCTGTGTATGATGTGTATAAATAGTGGTTTGAGGTAGATAATTAAAAGACTTCATGACCCGGTTCAGGCTGTTTACTCTTAGCTCATGATTTAAAATATAAGAATGTGATCACGTCCCTAAGTAGAAGGCCCATTTTCTTTTTTCTTGCTTGTTGTATAGGAGCGAATGGCTAAGCTCACTCGTGTCTTTATTGCCTTTTCCTTTCCAATATTCTCAGCTCTTTCACTTTCATTTGTGTTTGAATAACTAAAATCCAGCCTTTATAAACAGCATTATCACGTATATGAATAATGGAAGTAATAAGTCATGTATCTTCAGATGTCTCAGCATTTATCACAATCGGTCATTTAAAAGGGACAAAAATACATTGATACTTCCTTGTTAAAATCATTGCATGTTTTTAATTTGCCATATCCTTACTGTGCTGCTTCCAGTTGTTGAGTCCTTTCAACATTTTAAAACGTTGAAGCATTAGTCTCCATTCCAAGCACTCTTGAGTCTAGACTGAGTTCCACTCGTGCATCCTGTGCCTAGTGCCTCTCCTGACTAGTTTCATTACGTGAAAGGGAGGACACAGTGTGAATGGTGCCCCCTGGAGGAGGCAACACTGCACTGGGAGGGAAGCACCACAGAAGTCACCACCCGTCCGTAGTAATCACTGTTAGCCCCCTCCCCTGAAATCTTTAGGGATTTTTAAATATCAGGAGTCCCCAAATTAAAATATCACAAGAGTCAATTCTATATTTGCCCTACTTTTAGCTGGGAAAGATTTTGCACTGTGAGGGGTTTACTGTCAACCCCCCTGCAGATCCTGCTAGCTATCTACACTCCAGGGAGCCTCTCCTTGAGGGGGAGGGCAGAAAGCAAGCTTCAAGGAGAAAAGCCAGCAGGGAAGGAAACACTACCAGGAAGCAGTGCTAGCAAGGGATGGCATGGCGGAAGGGTTACCCTAGAACTGCATGTTACACCCTAGGAATGGTGTAGAATTTGGATGGGGAAAAGCATTCTCCACATGCCCTCACAATCTAGTTCCATTGTCTAAGAGAACAGTTTAAATGAAGATAAAAATATGACTCTCAGGATATTCATCATTTGGGAATAAACTATACTCCCATTCTTGTAAATAAAGATACATGTTAAGAATCAACACACTGAAATCCCTGCCCCTTGGATGTGGCACAAGCTGGAGGTACAGAGAGTTAAGAAACACTGCAGATCAGGGACCCCACACATGGAGATGTGGATCAGTTCTTCAAGTCTGGGATAAGAAATGGCTTCCAATAACACTCCACTGCAAAAAACGGGAGGGAAACAATGCAAAGAATACAAAGGTCAAGGAGGCAGAGCCATAATGATTTGTGGCAGAAAAAGTCCTGGACCCGTGTGGTGTGAATGGATGGGGGCAGGGGGAGTATTTCCCAGAGTGGAAGGGATTTACACATGCCAACAATACTAGAGGACCTGAGGAAAATGTGGATGTCCATTTCTTAATTTTCAAAAAGCTGGTGAAGAAAAGAATGACACACACAAAAAAACTTCATCTGGCAGAGTCTGCTAGCAAACCAAGAGGCTTTGACACGGTCAGAATTGTTTCCCACGAAAGGGAAGGATTTAAATGAGGCAGAGTTGGGTCTGGCAAAGGAAGTAACCATGAATGTCCTCAGATTGCAATTGCTTTTTATAGAGACAAAATTGGCATTTTTGTACAGAAGATGTAGCTCAATATTGTTGGCACTGAGATATATATATATATATATATATAAAATCAATCCGAATCTTGATTTTGCTTTTCAGTGTGAATACGAACATTCTAATAAAAATTGAATTTGATATATTCATTTCAAAATAGTACTTGGGGAAGTTGTTGAGGTTTTTTTTGTGTATCATCACTAGTTACTTTGAACAAGTAAGTATTCTGTGGTTGCTTAATTTATCACACAGATAAAGGAATATTCAATACACTAAATTCAGGTGTTAATACTCAATGCTGGAAAGAGTCCAGTGAAATAGTTTAATTACTGAAGTATATATTGATATAATTTTTATACAAAAATTTTAGAAATATGTGTCAGACCATGAAAATATATATATACCCTTTGACCTGATAAATCCATTGCTGGGAACTCACACAAAATGAAAAAGAAAAGAAAGGAAAAAGCCCTATGTGCACAAATACGTTGCAGAAATAGCTACAAGTTTGAAACAGCCTAAGTGTCTAGTAAGAGGGGAATGGTTAAGTAAGTTATATACTACACAAGAGAGCTGTTTAAGTTGACAATTAAACAGACTTTATATCTGCATTTAACTAAAAAAAAGTTACAACATTGAAATTTTAGAGAAATTATGCATTTGAAAAAAGTTGAAGTGAATAGGTAATTGTTTACATGGCAAGTTATAGGGGTTTTTTTTTACATTTTATATTGTTTTCATGTATATATAAAAATACAGTCATAAGAGATACATAAATCCATAAGTTCAAAATAATTTGATACAGATGAAAAATTGCTGAATGAGAAGACAGTGAGAAAGGTTCCTGTTTTGTGATTCCTGTTTATCACTATAAGCATGGTGCTTTGTTAACACTGTGGGAGTTAATGTGTGTGTCACCTCAGGTAAAGAAATCCTAGTCAACTGCATGCTCCAAAATTATTATTTCCATACCAGATGAAGCCCAGGAAAGGGCAGTGATGCTTGTGTCCCTAGATGAGCAATTATTTTTCTCATATAGTATATATTCATCCACAAAAGAAGTAAAATATATATATAGTGCTAAATCCTAGAAATCTTAGAATTCAATCTAAAAACTTCTAGATAGGTAATTTAAATATTTCTAGTTTTGTAATTCACAAAACAACATGACACTAGATGGAATATTTTCATCTGAAACAACTTTCAGTATTAAGTGGTTATGCTTAACATAAAGAACTAGTTATCACTTAAAATAGTATTTTATCATTTGTATATCAGTATTTGTAAATGTTATTAGGTTTGAAGACTAGTTAAGTCTATTTTCAGCATTTTGTTGCAGAGTTTTGGAACCAGCTCCTTTAGAGTGCTCTAACAGCTTGATGGCCTTGTCAGAGTTTTCAATATTTCTAAGGAGAGTCTCTAATCTTCTCTTAATTTTCTTCTGATCTTCAAGAGCACAGCCAATTACTATGGATTGAAACTTCTGATCAACTGGTCCAGATGGCACCTCAGACGAACATGCACTGTAGAGTGACATCAAATGACTCTTGGCATTTTCCAAATCATCCAGAAACTTATTAACCACCTCATCAATAATCCTCGTGGCATGCTTTAGGGATTCTTGCTGCTGGGGGTTTCTAATTGTTTCTACGGAAACTTCAACAGTGAGAGTTCGTCCCATCAAACGGTTTGCAGTCAGATTTAATTCTTCTCTTTCTCCTAAACATAAAAAGTTTTGAAATATCAATTAATATGAGATATAAACTTATGTATGTTAAGAACACTAAAGCATTCATTTGTAGCTAAATTTATTCTGTTCTATAAGAACCTCTATGAAATTTTTTAAAGATAAAAGCTAAAACTATAGCATATAATAAGGTTAACTGATGCAATGTGTTAGATTACAGAGAGAGGCTGAGAATACCTTTCCCTGAGAATCTTTATCCATGGGATACTAGATGCCTTCTCAAATTAGCATGTCTGCACAAGTCTGGGCATGCCTTTGTACCTGGAATGGAGATCAAGTCTTCACATAGAACGTGAGTGGTGAGCATAACTAGGGTTTGGCGCTAGGTAGAGCTACGAAGGCCAGACGTCCTAGAGCTCTCCATAAAGACATGTGTGTTTGTCAGAATATGTTGCCCCATATTTGGGCTGAGCAAATGCAGATAGTGGACGGTAACACAGGCACTGACACCATCCCTTCCAGACAGATTTAAGCAGGCCAGTGGGCTAAGTCTTGACCAACGAAAGGAGGCAATGATGGCAAGAGAATCTCTGTCAACATTTCAGTATTTATATGAAAAAGTCAGTAATATTCTGCTTGTCCTGTGCCAGAACTTCCTTCCTTATTCATTGATCTTTGGCCAGCACAGCGAAGAGGCAGACTACATCATGATCCGCCATGGATGCGTTAACAGTTCTGGTCTGGACTTGGCCCTAGCTTGTCCTGTGGAGCACTAGAGGCAAATAGTAAGTCCAGTGCCAACGAAAGGAAACCACAGTGAACTATTCCTCCTGGGCAGGCGTGCTCTTCATAGGAAAGGGGCAGCGTGTTTTCACATAAGTGGGTTATACTGGTCCCATAATTTGCCTTTATTTTCTCCCTTTCCTGTCTTTTCACCTCAATTCATCTTCTGTCTTTACATCTCTGCTTCCACTCTCTCACCTTTCTCCTCTGCCTTTGAATCTCCTTCAGAGTAACTTCTAAAGAACTGAAGTTAGGAGTGTGACCTGAGGTAAACACACGGCCTATTGCTCCTGGAGTGTGCAGGCCTTTTCCTATCACTCCCAGCCATGCTCTGGGGGGAGGGAGCACGCTGGAAGAATGATCTCTGAGTATAAGTGGCTGCTGTAAGGAGCTGACAGCTGCAGGTGTTCTCTGTGGCTCCCTTAAATGCCGCAGCCTAGTGTACGCAGGCATCCCAGAGTCAAGACAAAACCCATTTTTGTAAAGCCCTCACAGGGGACTACAGGACAAGTCCCTTCGGTGGAAACGGCTCTCACCGTCACTGATCTGCCTCATGTCCTGGCTGTTTTGGATACTGTGGATCATTTCCAGGAGGATTTCTTTCTCTTGTTCAACAGCAGTTGCTGCTTCTCTCAAAGCTTCAACCCTATAGAAATTGGGAAAACCAAACAGTTACTTATGTGGAAGATGTTTTTCTTCTTAATTTTCTTCATCTCTCATTCAGTCCACCTCAAGTTTAAAGATTATCAGAAGCACTTTTCAAAAATTCTTCATTCCTGTTTTTAAGTTCTTTCAATTTTCCATTCTTCTTTTGTCCACTTGCCTGTCTCCCATTTTCCTCCTGCTCATAAGGCAGTCATCCTATTTAGTGTTTATCTGCATTCATTCTTATGAAATCTGTACTGTTTATTTGAAATGTATATCTCATTCTGTTTCTTTTTTTCACTTAGCATTCATTATTGGACTAAGAACCTCAGTGTTCCTAGGTGTATCTCAAATAAGTTGTTTCTGGTTGTTGACTAATATTCCATGTGTGTCCCACCTGACTCCCAACTCTCCACTCTCCAGAGGTGGACACTCAGGTTGCCCACTAACTTCTCATTACCATGAATAATGCTTCAATGAAGACAAGTCCCCATCGGATCTAGGTGAGAATTTCCTTAGGCTATATACCAGGATGGAATTACTGAGACATAGAATATGTGTACCCTGAATTTGACTTAGTCCTACAACTATTCTCCAGAAAGGCTGTACCGGTCCACTTTCCAGAGCAAAACACAAGAGTCTCATATCCCCACATCCTTACCAATACTCAGCATTTTCTAACTTCCTATTTGCTGTTAGTCTAACAGGTGTACACTGATACGTCTATTTTAACTTGCATTTTTTACTACTAATGATTTTTTTAGATATCTCTGTATGCTTGTTAGCATATTCTTAGACTTCTTCTATTTTGTTTTTTCTGTGTTTAAATCAGAGTTACTGTTCTCTTGTTGATGTGCATACTCAAGATATTAGTTCTTTGTGGTTACAGTCATTGCAGTCACCTCTCATTCTATGATATGTGAACTTTGTCCAGGATGTCCTTTACTGAACAGATACCCTTATTTTGATGTGACAAATACATCTTTTTTGTTTTGCCGTATGTTTTGTGCTTCTGAAGTTTTGTCCTAGGGTCTTCCTGACTCCTAGGTCATAAGATATTTTCCTATATTTTCTTCTGTTAACTTTATAGTATACTTTCCCACGTTTATGTCTTTAATCTTCCTAGAATCCACCCGTGTACGTAGTTAGGTAAGGATTTTTTCTCCAAACAATGAGCCATTTTCCGCACATTCTCAGATAACCTATCTTCCCCTAATAATTTGACTTTCTTATAACACGTCTTGTACTATGCCTTCATATTGATAAAGTAGGCCCTCCAATCTTCTTTAAAGGTAACTCAGCTATTTATGGACCTTTATTTCTTCATATAAACTTTATAGTAAGTTTACTGAGTTTCTAAAAAAACTGGGGGGAAATATATCTTTACAGTCATTCCATTCAAGGGCATGATATGTCTCATTTATTCAAATCTTCTATATTCTTGTTTTAGGAAAAATTCAAACTATTTTCCCCCACAAGCCAAGCAGCAGATACCAGCTGGGTGTCCTCAAATTCAATTCTGACACAATCTACCTGGAGATGACGTCATATCCTATTCCACAGGGCAAGGGCTCAGTCCCACAAGACTTCCCGCCACTCAGGAACCAGTCACAAATCTGGGCCTCCAGAACTTCTAACAGACTGGATTTCAAGTTGGGGTTCCCAAGACACCCCACCTTGGGTTTGACTAATTTGCTGGAGCAGTTCACAGAGCTCAGAGAAATACCTGCTTACATTTACTAGTTTATTATATGGGATATTACCAAGAAACACAGATGAAGAGATGCATAGGGTGAAGTATAAAGGAAGGAGTGCAGAGCTTCATGCTCTCCCTGGGTGCCACCCTCCAGGAACCGCAATGTGTTCAGCTATCCAGAAGCTCCTAGAATCTTCCTTTTGAGTTTTTATGGAGACTTCATTACATGGGCATGATTGACAACTGTGTAGAAATGTGACTGAACAATAAACATGCCCACACTTATTCTTGGTCTCTGTTTAGCATTCCTTCCTCTAGGATATGGGGCAGGACTCTCTGGAATGAGGATCTTCTGACCCATAACAGATTAGAGTTTGCCTTGGGAACGTGAACAAAAGACAGGAGGTCAGAGGGGGAGATTGTTTCCTGAGGCCTAAAGCACCCCAACATTATAACAAAAGACTGTAACAATGAGTAGGGAGGTTATGAGCCAGGAACCATGGGTGAAAACCGTTATCTATATCATACCACCACAGTTTTTTTTTGAACTGGAGTCTCATTCTGTCACCCAGGCTGGAGTGCAGTGGCACACTCTGGCCACTGCAGACTCGACCTTCTGGGCTCAGGCAATCCTTCCGCCTCAGCCTTCCAAGTAGCTGGAACTACAGGAGCATGCCCCCATGCCTGGCTAATTTTTTGATTGTAGAGATTAGGTCTCACCAAGTTGCCTGGTCTCGAACTCATGGGCTCAGGCAATGCTCTCACCTCAGCCTCCCAAAGTGCTAGGATTACAGGCCTGAGTCACCATGCCCAGCCTACACCACCACAGTTGTTTATTAGAATTCTGAAGTATTCTTGATAGTAGTCTTTGTGGACTCTTGAGTGTCCCAGATACTTTGTGAATATTGTTGCTATTGTGAATAATTTTAATTATTTTTAAATTATTTTCTAGTCGATTATTGCTGGTTTGAGAAATGCTGTTTTTGTAGGTTCACTTGTAACTGGCAATACTTATAACTTATAAATAAGTGTAACTGTTTACACTTATTTAATGGTCATTAATTCATTGATTCTGTTGGTTCTTCTTGGTTGATCATATCATCTGCAAAACTCGAAAGTTGTTACCTCTTCTTTCCCAGTCCTGTACTTATATTTTTACTTTGTAGTATTGACTAAGGTCCTCCAGTGCTGTATTAAACAATGGAGATATGGGGGCATCTTTGGCTTTTCCCAGATTTAATGGAAGGCCTGCATAGTTTTTTGGTATAAAACCCTGATCAAGTTACAGAAGCACTACCCACCCCCCAACTACATCCACATGCACTCACAAGCACATGAACACACCCAGTCACTAAAAAACTAGGCTGTAGAATCGTAAGAGCAAGAGAAAAAAAAAATCCTGTGCATTTAAAGTGCTCTATTTCCAGGGCACTTTCTTGTTTTAGATTATACTAGCTAAGTTGCCAACTTTTGCAAAATGAAATAGTGACAGACCTATCCCCAGCATTTGAATGGTCTTAGAAATGCAAGATCATGAAAAATCTAATCCTGACTGCTGCCTTAAGTGCACAAAGAGGGAACAACCTCAACAACATGTTAGCATGTGCCAATTCCATAAAAGGATACCCCCACCCCAACCATGCATCTGCCTTTTCCCCTTCCGTCACCCACCTGTTACACCCCAAAATAGCACTTATAGGCTGTAAAACCACAGGGTGGCTTTATTCTTCAAGATACTGAAGATGTTTTGAACTTTGTGTTTATAAGAGTCAGTAAAAGCAAAGAGATGGTAAGAATCTTCCATGACAATTTTGACTGGGGAATACAATAAAGTACAATATTCTATGGAGTACAGGTAATGCATTATCAGATCCTCTTCCAGCAGCATTCACTATCTGCTTAAACGTTTCACAGTAACAAACTCTCGGGCGGATAAACTAGGGCCCAGAACACATGAAAGAGATTGAGTTAGCACTGATATGAAATATTTATGCTAAGAATACAAACCATGACTCCAATATTTAGATAAATGACACAGATGAATCATGTGATTGGTAAATGAGAAGATGTTGAAAGAAGAGATGAATTTTTCAATACTTCTTTCAACTGTAAGATGATAAACAGAACTGAATGCTATTCTAAAAAGGAAGGTTTCATTTACAACATGTTACAATGGCAAGTTCATGAAATTGTTAACAAAATGGATTAAAAGGAGACATTCTAGAAAAAATATAATCCTGTCATATGAAGAAATTTTGTCACTAAATGAGATCAAATAAGATGGAATGTACATTTTGTGGGGGGTTTTGTTATTTTCACAAGGCTTTTAAAAGTATTTAATAGAAACTGCCAGGGCACTGAAAAACATTCCATCATTTATAGAATTTTCTATGTACATTATGTACATCATTTCATTTCATAGCAAAGGTAAAATGCCGTTCTACAGAATGTAAAGATTCCAGATTTTCTTTGGTATTATGGGCTTATTTAATGTATGTACTACATCATATTCTTAATTTCCTCTTTTAAAAGGCTGATCTCTACTTTGTCAGCTATTGCTATCTTTATCGATCTTTTGTCTACAACTTTTCCATTAATTCTAGAAAATTCTTAGCCATTATATCTTTGAATATTCCTTGTCTCCCAATCTGTTATTTTCTTCTGGAACACTGGTTAGACAAATGTTGGGCCATCTCATTTTATCCTTCATGTTTCTTAATATCTCATCTGACAACACTTCTCTTGGCGGGGAGGGGCAGTTCTGTTTTTACTAACAGATCCTGGAAACAGCTACATGTCCAAATTGGGAAAGAACTTATCCTCACATCAAAGCTAGCCTGGGCTGCGCTCCTGGAAAACTCTGCCTGAAATCACAACTAGGTAGGCTTTCACAAAAAAAAGTCAGAATACTCATATGACAAAACTGGAACACACACACCTCCAGCTAGCCCGGGTCTCAGGCACTCCAGACTCTGAAGTCTGGGCATCAAAAGGACATGTTGTGGGGAGACTCAGGAGAACTACAATGATAATTCCACCAAGACTGCAGCTGCTATTAATATGTCGCCTAGTAGAGTATGCAGTGAAAACCGTGCCAGCACTGCCCCATAGCTGTGTGAAGGGGTCAGCTGCTGCTATGATCGAGGGATAATAAGGCTGTGGCTGAACGAAGTAAAGCAGGTAAAGAGCTCAGCAGTAACAACAGCATCGACTAAAAGACTATGTTGACATGAGTTCACATGTATAATGTGCCTAGAACCAGTGCTGGCACACATTAGCTTTATAGTAACTATCGTACACCTGCCATTATGCATGCAGACTTAATGCCCAATAACGACAAATTTTGCTTTCTTGAAAAGGAGGGAAAATGGCAAATGCTCATATCATGCATGTATTTTCAAGAAGTAATTTCCAAAACAGGTTCTTAAACTCATAGTCCTGTCTGTTATTTCACAGTCCTGTATCAAAAGAATGCTATAATGATCACTTAATATTTCGGGCAATGTGGCCAGGTGTGGTGGCTAATACCTGTAATCCCAGAACTTTGGGAGGTTGGGGTGAGAGGACTGACTGAGATCAAGACTAGCCTGGGCAACGTAGCAAGACCTCATCTCTACAAAAAAATTAAAAAATCAGCCGGGCATGGTGGTACACATCTGTAGTTCCAGTTACTCGACAGGCTGAGGCAGAAGGATCCCCTGAGCCCAGGAGGTCGTGTCTGCAGTGAGTTGTGATTATGCCACAGCACTCCAGCACTCCAGCCTGGGTGACAGAGTGAGACCCCGACTCAAAAAAAACAACAAAAAAACCCCATTAGGCGATGTAAGATTCTGAAGGGTTTTCCTCAATCACATTTACTATCAAGATACTTTGGTCTAAAAATAGAAACTGGTATTCTCGTGTTAGAGCTACTCATCAGTAGCCCGTCCTTAGGCAAGCCACTTAATCCCTTTGGGCCTTAGTTCCCACATTTCTAGAAGAAATAATATGTGCCCTCCTCCTGCCTCAAAGGGCTTTGTAAGTTTCAAATGACTATGTATATGAAAAGTGCTCTCTTAAATTACAGGCTGTTGTACAATATTAACTATGATGTCATTTCATTTCGTAACTCCTGGAACATTGGCACACCCTATCAAGAAACTTTTAAGCCAGACAAATGATCCATACCACCCCGTCCCAACCCTTCATTTCCTGGCTGCAAGTTGAGCCACAGAGAATGGCTGACAGGAAGGGGGAAGGAGCCACTGTGTGGTCAGTTTTGGGAAATGTGTAAACAGTCAGTCTCCCAGTCCTATCATTTTCCCTTCTATCAGTCTCTAAAACCCATCCCCCAAACACTGTCATAACCATCTTGAGCCCTCTAGGAGCCACCCAACAGCTGGCATACAGTGGGTGTTTAATATTTACTGAATTAAAGGCCAATTTAAATTGAGTTTTCAGCTCTTTCAGTAAAATCATATATGTGCCCATATATCACTCCTACATTTTGAAATATGACACATTTAATTTTAGGGAAGTTCAGGCATAATGTGTCAGGGACTGTAGAGTCAGGCTTCCCTGTGTTCAAATTTGGAGTCCACTACTATCTAGTTGTGTGACCATGGGCAAGTCATTTCAGCTTCTAAGCCTCAGTTTCCCATCTTTAGAACAGAGATAATAGTAACTTCCAGAAAGACATATGACCTAGCATATAGTCAGTGCTCATTAAATGAATATTAACATGTATTATTTATAAGTTATGATTACTGATAAAAAGTAACAATAAGCAAGGTGTTTTCAGCCACCGAAGAATGTGAAATTCAGACTCCACTTAGAATTGGTCATAAGCCAGGTGTGGTCATGCATGCATGTAGTCTCAGCTACTTGGGAGGCTGAGACAGGAGGACTGCTTGATCTCCAGCATTTGAGGCTGCAGTGAGAGCTATGATCAAGTGACTGCCCTCCAGCCTGGAAGACAGAGTCAGACCTTGTCTCTCCCCCCCCCCAAAAGGCAGGCATGGTGACTCACACCTGTAATCCCACAATTTGGGAGGCCAAGGCAGGAGGAGTGCTTGAGACCAGGAGTTTGAAACCAGTCTGGGCAACACGAAATCTTGTTTCATTTAAAAAAAAAAATAAGAAGAAAGAAAAATTAAAAAGCAAAAAAAGAATTGGTCATAAAACCTGGGAGAGAATGGAATCACCTCCTTAGGAGGAAGCAATAAAGGAGATGAGAGGCAGTCCAAGAAGAAAGGCTCGTGTAGTGATAAAAGTATTAGAGACGAGGAAATTCTTCAACACTTTGTAGAGCTGCTGCCACACATTTTAAACATCGTGTATGCCAGTTCATAGTCCAGGTCATAAAACATTTAGTATCATCCTGATTTTAGAATCGTGGGGAAGAAGTTTCTTCCACAATTGACAGAACCAGTGTCACTGGGGAACAGTAAATGCACACTTCTAAGTACAAACTAAGGTTTTACTCCATCCAGTACGCTACTGTATTAGTCTACTTAACATGAAATCAAACTACTAGAGCAAATTACATATGAGTTTCATGTTTTCTCTTGAAAATCAATCTCCTAGATATGATTCTAGTTTTTAAGAGTAGAGCTCTGTGATGCTGCCCATGTGATTTCAAAATAACTTTAAGTGGATCCAACATTAGCATTTTTCTCTATTTTTGCTTACCTTCTAAAACACTTCCTTAGTTTTTCAGCTATTATTAATTTTTAAAAGAAGAAAAAAGTCTAAACTAGACAAGACCTTGAAATGAGCAGACACATATTAATCTGACTTTTTTCCTCAGCTCAAGTGTTAATTAAGCAAGCTGTAATTTAATCACTTTTGCACAGTAATCAGAATTCATTTTACATTAATCAAACACAAAAATATAATAATACTCCAAGCCAGAGGCTTTCTTTTAAAGAAGAGCACTTGAGAGTGCTTTTTGTACCTAGCACATGCGAGGCACTAACTCAAGCTTGAGGACAATGACTCAGCTAGAGGGAAGGAGGGGCAGCATTCTCCTCATTCCTTTAAGAAAAAACCCCTTCTCCTTGACTTGGGGAGAGAGACTGGAATGGTGGCCAACATGCCCTCAAAGTTCTAGAACCTGGAGAGACGTGTGGGTTACTTGTTAGGGTGCTGCGTAAAAAAAAATGTTGCTGAAGGGTCTACAAGTAGCTGAGGCCACTAATCTCTACTTTTGCTCCACTTTTTTCTGGAGTTGAGTGGCTCAGGTTTGCTGGTTTCGTGCAAACCCAGGAAGAAGCGTTCCTGCTCTCTCCAGTGTCATTCTGTGCCGAACCCAGAACCCGGGATGGGACTTCAGTTCCTCTCTCCAGCGCCAGCCAGCAAAATATCCTGGGGGAGAACTTCTCTCTATCTGGCTCCTTTTTCAATGGTAATAATAATAAACGCCTCATTTGTTAAGAGATACTGTGGTTATTACTATTTTCTTGGCAAACAGACCTCCCCCATGTTTTGGTCTATGGAGGGAGATAAAGACACACACACGTAGTGCTTCTTACACTTTTGACTCAAATACTTCTCTGCTCATTTCTAACCTGTTGCAAACTATGGAACAAAATCCTGTGCACAGGTCCGGGGGATTGTAGGTGCCCTGGTAAGATTTTCCTTTACGTACACCTGCACATAACAGAAACTTTGGAGACATAAACATTCACAGAAAGTACAGAAACATCTACCAAACATTGTTAGAGGAACAAAGTCTTTCCAAAAATTTATTAAGTTATTTAAGGCAAGGCACAGTGGCTCACACCTATATTCCCAGCACTTTGGGAGGCCGAAGCAGGACTGCTTGAACCCAGGAGGTCAAGGCTGCCGTGCGCCATGATGGTGTCACTGCACTCCTGCCTGGGTGTCAAGAGTGAGACCCTAACTCAAAAACAAAACAAAAGACCAAAAAAAAAAAGAATGCAGTTATCTAGCGATTCTACCCAAGCCTGCTACTATTATGTAGATTACGTAATAAAATCTTTTATTTATTTTCATTTATCGTAGAGACGAGGTCTCACCACGTTGCCCGGGCTGGTCTCGAACTCCAGGGCACAGGCAATCCTCGCCTCCGCCTCCCAAAGTGCTAGGATTCACAGGCGCGAGCCACCACGCCCGGCCATACTTAACATCATCACGGGTGAAAGGGACAAGCCGTGACCATCTTTTCCTGCTGCCAGGCCAGGGACCCGCGCTTTCAAGGTGTCCGCAGCGCCTCGTGCTGCCGTCCAAGTGAGGAGGCCTCAAGTGAGGAGGCCTCGGGGGTGCAGGCTGTGGATGCTGGGACCTGGGCTCGGAGGTGGGGGCTGCCCACCTCTTCATCCCCACCGCCCCTCCTCTCCACCCCTTGCTCTCAGGCACACTCCTGGGTGGTTGTGGGCTTTTGTCATTTTTGCCCTGAAGTGTCCCGGAGCAAGGAAACTGCCTTCCCGTCGGGGGCCGGCGTCACCGCCCCCCCCCATGCGTAACGAGAAGGAGTCAGCCCGTGA